TTTTTTTTTTTTGTCTTTTTCCTTTTTCCTTTTTATCGGTACCGGGGATCGAACTCACGACTGCCTGCTTGCAAGGCAGGCGCTTATGCCGCTGAGCTAAATCCCCAGCCCCGAATAAATTTAAATTTGAAACACGGTAGTATAGTGATTAACAGCCTAGAGTTAGGGGACCAACAGGGGAACATCATCTTACAAAGGAAAATCATAATATACAAAAAATAAAAAAGGACTGTACCTTGAATCCTATGTACTGGATGCCCAGTCAGTAAGTATCAATTCATGGCCAAATTTGTTTAAGCTACAGCCCACTGTAGACTATTTTGAGGCAAATTTCAGACTTCATATAATTCCACTTATAATGATTTCAATTGATCTAAGGGCAAACACTTTGAGTGGGACAGATGCAGAGTTACATTTAGGCTCTAATATCTAACTATAGATGCCTTGCCCTTGGATATTAGAGTGCCTTCTCTCTGCAATAAAGGGGACAGTCATTCTTGTTTCTCAGGACTGCTTTAGAAGTGAAACATGATAAGGAAATGTTTAAAAAAAATGCTAAGATACAGAATGTAGCTAATACATGGCAGTTATGGTTATTACTACTGTACTAAAGTATGAAGACAAGACACTTTTGGACTCATTTCCAATGAGGCTTAGGAAAAACAGGTACCAAAGATATACAGTATTAGAAAGAGGCCCTAAACAAGTATGCCATGGCTTATATTTAGATGTCCTCACAAAGCCTCAGGCATTCATAGACAGGGTTTTGGGAGGTGACTGGATCATGGATGTAAGACACTAGATCAGTCAATTGACTGGTTTGGCATAGTTTTGGGTGTGGGTGATACCAACCCATGGGCTTCTAGCCTGGATGGAATAAAAAGAAAAAGAAATGCGGCTGCTTCCTGCATGTCATGCCGTGAATTGCTTCTCCTCTGCAATGCCCTTCTGCCATACCACCCTGCTTTGGAGCCAGCCAACTATAGAGTGAAACCTCTACAAACTATGAGCTGAAATAAACTTTTCCTTCTTTAACTTGTTGGTCTCTAGTATTGTGTTCCATCAACAAGAAGATAACTAAGAGTACAATCTCTATGATGGTTAATCTTGACTATCAACTTGATTGGCTTGAGAAGCACCTAGGATGTTAGTAAAGGATACATTTGGGTGTGTCATAAGGGCATAACCTTGGGAACTATATTTGGTTTCTGACTTCTCTCTGACTCTTCCCTTGCTCTCAGTTTCCTGGCTGCTACGAAATGAGCATCTTTCTTCCACCCCATCTTTCTACCATGATGCCTCTTAGAGCCATCCAATCACAGATTAAAACTCCTGTGACCCAAAATAAACTTTCTCTTCCTTTAAAGTTGTGTTGGTCATGTATTTCATCCCAGATGCAGAAAGTTAACCAATACCATCTACCTGCCATGGACATTTTAACTGTCAGGTACAAAATTTGGTGGGTGACCCCATCAAGAGGAGGGACACAGTGGTCTGCAGTACTGTGGCTGAGTGAAAGGGAATATTCTAGAAGCAGCTGGTACTTCTCACCACACACAGCACAGCCTCCTTACTGCCAGCTTCCTAACCCAAGGAAGCCAAGGTTTTGCTTTTTAAATAAAATTCCTAGAGAATATTTTTAAGTACTAAAATCTAATTTAAGTACTTTTTGAAACTCTAAGTGATGAGAAAACTTGTTTGTAATCTAAAGTGATAGAAAAGTTATAGGGTATCTATTATTGGAGGCATATGATATATATTCAATCCAAGAAGCAAAAAAATAAAAATGAACTCAAAACAGAAAGTGGAAGAAAATTAAACCATTATTTCCCTCCCAGCTCATCACATCAGCCCTTCCAATAGAAGTGGGATGTCAAATATCTTATAAAATTAACAAGCAACAGGTATCAGTATAGATACTCAGTAAATTACATAAATAATTTATGATCAATTATTAAGCTATAAAACTTGTCACCTTTAAGTAGAATAAGACTTCTAAAGATACACTAGAGAAGCCCTTCTCTTTTCATTCTTTTTCCTTTTCCTTTCAATTGGCTAAGAGCAGTTAAGGGATGTTTCCATGAAGGATTCTATCCATTCTTCACAAAAGAATGGAAAAAGGAGGAGACCACTGCTGTGGTTTAGCTCTAGATTGTCCCCAGCTTTGGGGATGCACAAGGGTTCAGTGGTGGTGCTTCTGGAAAGTGTCTGGATCACAGGGCATAGCCAAGAAACGTGCTGTTAAGAGGCTGGGCTTGGTGTGAGGAGGTGGGTCACCGGGGCTGGGACCTAGAAGGGTCTCTCTCCCTCCCTGACTCCTCCCTCCCCTCTCTGCATCTTTCCTCCACCAGATTTGGCCACCACGCCCTTCCTGCCTTGTAGCCAGCCAGCTCCAGACAGAACCTTCTAAACTTGGGAGCCAGAATAAACCTCTTCTTTAAGTTGAGCTCTCAGGGATTGTATCCCAGTGGTGAGAAAGTGACTAAGACAGTAGTTAACGCTGTTGATGACACAGGGACACAAGATAAAAGGGGGGAATCATGTGCCCCAAGATGACTGATGAAACAACTTGGTTGAGCACAACAGGACTTAAGTTGCAAAAATAGCATCTCCTGCCCTTAAAGAAGTTTGGATGAAACATAAAGAGACTACAAAAGATAAATACAGCCTCTGGAAGAGGGGAGGAGAAAAGGAAAATACACAAACCCGAGAGGAGCCAAAGGTCAAGTAAAGGATCCTCGTAAGGGCTACCATGAAGTCAGATAAAGCAAATCCATAGCCCTTTGAAAACTCCATCTTAGTCTATCAATTACAATGAAATACTCTGTAGATTCTGAAGCATTTTACTTTGGTTTTGGGAACTCATTCCATTTCAGATCAATATTTCTTTGAGGGAAAATGAGTTATTCATTACTTTCAACTATGGAAGCACTATACTGACCTTTGTAATAAAAACTGAATGTTGTGATTCTGAATTATAAGTAGACATGAATTTATTGCTGGAAAACACTAAATGCCAAGCTACAGCTACCAGCACTGAAATTATGGGGTGTTCAAACAAGTGAGACTCCTCACTGACAATAATGGCATCCCTGTGCCATCCACCTGTACAAATACAGAATCCAACCCTCACGCAGAGTGTGTCATCTTCATAGCTCATGGCATGAATTCTAGACATTCCAGCTTTCTGCACTAACCACAACCCAAATTAGTCACAGAAGCTACTGTGTATGGCTTAGAGATGATTCGGATTCATTTTTAGTATCAAGACCTATAGGGTGTTATTTCAAGTTTTCTGTTGCTATCAGCTGCTTACAGCTGATAAGACTATTTCTTGTCATAGTGATAATGATGTATATAGTCAAGTCTCAATTGCAATTCTGACCCCCTAGAACTGTTTGAATAATTGATTAGCGAGTAAGTCAAGGTAATCAAATTTATTTTTGGTTATACAATCACAGAATCGATTATTTTTCAAATAAAACTCCAAAGAACTAGATCATTTCCCCAAACAAAAGGTTACAAGTAGTAGTTCACACATGTGAGTGACAGCACGGGCAAAGTGCACATGAGGGCAGTGTGCAGCTTTTCCCTGCAAGCCATGATGCAACAGGAGAATTACAAACTGCATCCTCACTGCTGACATCCAGGAGTAATGCCTATATGATCCAGTGTGACATAAAGAAAGTTAATTGTGATGTGTAGCTCAAGCTTAACAATTATTTACAGTACACTGATTTTTCAAGGTAATTTTCACAATTCAAGAAATATCTTATATGGAAAGCAAGAAGAAATAACACACCAAAAAAAAAAAAAAAATCAGTTTGCTTCCCAATGCTAAAGTTAAAGATGACAGATTTCTTGATGATAGTAGCTCTTTTATCCTATAACCAATGATCGTTCACAATAAAATGCAGCTGTTCTAAATCAACTCGATGACTAAAGAGGCATCTTTCATTTAACTATGATTCATTTTTACAATTATTGTCTACTTTAAAAGAAATCCACTTCAAACATGACTTTTCCTCCATAGAGCAAGAAAACTACTTTCAAATAGAAGAAAAAACTAGATACGCCTTGAGGCAGGCCAAACATTAAAGATGCAATTCTCCCCATTAAGCCGTGAAGTCACCTAAATATAGAAATACAAACTTTCTCTCTTTCCCTTTTTCATCCTAATGTCTGAAAACAAAGCTCCAAGAAACATTTTTTATCTAAGGGCAAAAGAATGACAAGACTCCCCGGGGGGAAATAAGCATGACTGTAAGACATCAAGAGTAACCTTTAAATACATGAGCCAGAGCCAGTACACACATGTGGACGCTGCCCCCTTCAAAGTCATTACCTTAGAAATTATATACTTATTCTAATGACGACATTATGGGCACTTTGGAATTTGTTTCAGACCCTGGAATTTCCACATCTTTAAGGTTAACAAGTATTTATTTTCTCAGGCTGCATTTAATAACAATCAAAAGGCCTCAGAGAGCGGTGCTTTCTCTGGAAAGTCTTGACATCCAAGTCGAGGTGAGAAGCTCTCTCCTAACTGATCCCCTAAACTTTCCCTTCTAATTACAACTCACTCTATGCTAGAAGTATTACTTATTTATCATTTCTCTCTCTGATAAAATTGACTTCTTCAGAGCAGGGAACTTATCGACTCTATTATTATACGCATAGCCCTACCATAGTGCGTAAAAAATATAGGCACCCAAGAAATACTGAACAAAGTCATCTACCATAAAATAAAGCAGTTTGGAACACTGTATGTATTTCCTCTATTTATCCTAACCATTTCTCTTAGAATTCTGAGTATCACATCTCTGTGCTCATATCTCTTTAGAGGGATGATTACTTTATGTGGTTACGGGACAGGTTTGGATTTGATCATTTTCATTACTTACTTATATATAGAAAAAAAGCAAAACTTATGATTATGTCTTTACATACTAAAACGTTACAACTTTCTCAGTCTCAAATTTGCAAGCAGAATATCTTACCAAGCTGCAGTATCTTCACAGTGTCTCTGTGTGCCTTCATTACCAGCTTGAAATGGCGATACAGTGGGTAGCACAAAACCCTTCTTCCAAAAGCCACCAGGATTTCATGAACATTAGTCCAATTCTGTGAAATGTCATTTTAATAAGAAGTCATTTCCATGAAACGTGTTGCACAAACAAAAGTGCACAGTGAAACAGGAAACTAATTTCAATTAAAAACAATAAACTGAGATCATCAGGAAGCCAACTGGAATGGAAATATAAAACCAGAAAATTAGATTCTTTTTGTACACCTTAGTATAAATATTTTAACATAGTCTTTGCAAGTTCTCATTATAAACCTATCTCAAAAGCTCCATAAAAATCACATATGTAGCAGGAAAGTTTTTGAGTCTTAGATATTACAAATAATCTAGGATTTGGCGGGAGAACATGGTGGACAGATAGCAGCAGCCACGGAGGCTCTCTGAAAGATCCAGCTTAGAATTCAGGAATGGTGTGGAGTAAGGAATCATAAGCAAGAGGAGATATGCCCTGCTGACCCAAGAACGAACTGGGCTGAGAGAAACCAACTGGGAATGCAATCCTGGTGCTATAACAGGAACAGAAAAGCTTCAGTGTGGAAGCTGGAGCCCGCGCCATTGGAAGCCGTGATTTGGATTTCCCGCCGCTGCTCCTGCGTCTACATAGGCTCGGCAGGGAGAGAGATGCGTGAAAGCTCTGAGAACAGGAATCAGTGAACGAAGCTGAAAGCAGGACGGGCAGGGAGCTGTGCATTGACCTGTGGTGACAGAAACTGGGACTCTTCCACGGTCTAGGAGACTCCAACAGAGGACATTCTGGGACCGGGCAGACTAGCTGGAACAGGGCGCTGCAGTGACTTCAGCCACGTATCCCCCTCTCAAGCGGGATTGGTGAGCAGTGCCTAGCCTATGTGACGCTACTGGCTGAGAGCCAGTAGGCTAGCACAGCCCAGGGCCCAGCTCCTGAAGGTAGATTAACCTGGAGGGGCGGGCCCCGCATAAGGCTTCCTGGTGCACTGCGGTGGGCGGGAACACCTAGCCGGCGCAATTCAATCAGACTGTGGCCGACAGGGAAGGAAGCTGGGCCACCTATATACGCTTGCATATATAAGGAACAAAGAATATGGAAAGAGGCAGCAACAAGAAAGGATCCTCGGCCCCCAATCCTGAGAAAGAGGCAATAGCAGACACAGCACCAATAGATATAAAGCGCTATCTCCAGAGCCTCATAGACAAGTTCAGAAATGAAGTTATTAATGACCTGAAGCTAGACATAAGCAGAATAGTTAGAGAAATGCTAAGCACCACCCAAGAAAAAACAGATGGTGGAATGGAAGAACAGAAAAAGAGGGGAGAATTGTTTGATGGAGAAAATAGAGAAAGCATAGAATACGTGAAGCAGGTTCAAAGAGATTACCAGGAAACTAAAAACTCTATCGAAAACTGGCATAACAGCTTGAAAGAAACTAAGGACAGATTATCTGAACTGGAGGGCAGATTTGTAATATGGGAGCATGAAATGAAAAACTTCTTAAAAACAACAAAGAAACAAACAGCAATAATACAAAAGACTAGAAGATGATAAGAGGATCTATAACTTAAGAATTAAGAACATAAAAGAAGAAGTAGGGACACAAACAAATGAACTACAAAAGCTATTCACAGAAATAATCCAGGAGAATTTTCCTAATTTAGAAAAAGGTAAAGATACTCAGTTGTATGAAGCATACAGGACCCCAGCCACCTACAACCCAAACAGCAACACCCAGGCATATAATAATTAAAATTCCAGAAATCCAATATAAGAACAGAATATAAAAAGCCGTCAGAGACAAGAAACAGATCACTTACAAGGGAACACCCATCAGAATTACAGCAGACTTCTCAGCACAAACCATCAAATCACGAAGAGCGTGAAGGGAAATAATTCAAGCTTTGAAAGATAATAATCTCCAGCCAAGATTGATATATCCTGCACAACTATCCCTGGAAATTGATGGAAAAACAAGATGCTTCCAGGATAAAGAGGAACTAGGGGAATATGCAACCACCAATTCAACTCTACAGAGAATACTGCAGGATATTCTAAAAAAGAAAAATACGAAGAATCCAGAAATAGTGGCAGAGAGGCCACAATGAATGGAGCAGAAAACAAAATGAAGAAGACAAACTGGCAACTAATGACATAAAAAGAGCTCAACAGAAATGAGGCAGAGAAGACTGGATGGTAGGAACAGCTATTTTGGAGAAAATGATGTCTTAATAGGTAATACTGATTTAGTATCATCTTGTTTTGAAGTCTCATCAAGCTTTTGTTCTTCTGTCTCTACTGGTCTAAACAGGTTGTATCTTATTGGATTTTATTATATATGATAGTATAAGCAAAAACTTTTATAGACAAGGAGATTATACAGAAACCATTGGTCATTTTCTGTTAGTTGATTCTAAATACCCTGTAATACTGTCATTCTCTTAAATGGTTTTACATTGTTTTGATATATTTGATGCTACAGTATACGATGTTATACTCAAAAGATTTCAAGGAAAGAGACAATATGGTAACTACTTTTATGTCAGGATTATCTTGTGGTGAAACACTATTTTGTTTAAATGGTTATGTTTTGATCTGCGCTGTTTTGCTATTATGCCCTCTTTTATCTCAATCTCCATTTTATTATTTACTTTTTTATTTTTATCCTTTTAATTAAGGGAAAAATAAATAAAAAATAGCAGGATATATTATAGTAACCCACTTTGACTTTCAATTATCTTGATTTAAAGCCCTGTATTGCTCTCACCATCTTGTTTTGACTGATGTTCCTCTATTCTGTTTTGCTTGATAGTACCAGGTTCGAAACTTTAGGCAACAGCTGTGAAGATAGTGGGATTCATTATGATGCCCATTCTGGTTGACTACTATCTACTTTTGAAGACCTATAATGTCTCCAATGTTTTGGTTTTGTTGGTTTTGTTCTGTACTGTTTTGTTCAATTTTATTATAACTGCTGATATAGGCAATTCTATTAGAGATAGCGGGAGGCATTATGCTAACCATTGTTGATCACCTTATATTATGCTTTTACATTATCTATTATGTCCAGCCTTTTGATTTGACTGACTCTGTTCTGTTATGTCACATTTGGTTCTACTCTCTTCCAAAAAAGTAATAAGAACTGTGGGAGCAACAAAACCCAAAATGTAACTGTCATTGTACAAAAGAGAGGAAAAGAAAGTGCTCTAAACAATATAACTGCATGTATATTTAAGTGTATAAGATAGATAATGATATTACTGAGTTTTGTTGGATCATTGAACAGAACTGTTTGCCGTCTCACCGTTGGAATGTCCACTTTATAAGCTTTAATTTTGTAACTTGAACAATTATTTCTAAGATGACAATATGTAATCCATTAACTAGTGATTTCCTACTGTTTTTTTCTGTAAATCTGTATAACTTGTACCCTTTCTCTGCTTTTTTTTTCTCCTTAAATAAAATTTAAAAAAAACAAATAATCTAAAACACATGGCCATTAGCAAACCACATATATACATAAAAAACATTTTTTAAAAGATACCTATTTCACATTTTTATCTTTTAGAGGTAATCAAGATGGCACATATCAATGATACATATGGAGCATTTAGTAAAGTGTGCTGACAGTCTCTGCCCTCCTTTTTGAAAAATTCTAATTTTTGTTTTGTTTTATTTTGCTTTGCTTTGAGACAAGGTCATGCTACACAGGTCGGGCTGGCCCTGAACTCATTGTTTAGCCCAGGCTGGTCTCACACTCGAAGCACTCATCCTGCCTTGGCCTACCGAGTACTGGAATTACAGACATGTGCCACTGTGTCTGATCCTAAATTTTTTAATATTCGTTTTAGTCATCACCTATATATGATTATTTACTTCAGTGATTCGTTTTTATTTATCAAAGAGAAAATACTGTAACTGATTTCTGGGGAAAGGTATTTTATCTTGAGAGATACCATCAGCACTTCAAAACTTAATAAAAACACTAGATATTGACTGGTGGTATAGCTCAGTGGTAGAGTACTTGCTACCATGCACAAACACTGGGTTTGACTGCCATCAATCCCCTACCCCCAAAATACATTAGCTAAAGGAAATTTTATGCAATTTAACTGGCTGTTGATAACAAAAGAATAAAAATGTAAATCATATGGGTTTTTGTTCTTTTTTTTGTTGTTGTCCTTTTGAGATAGGGTCTCACTATATATCTCAGGCTGGCCTTGAGCTTACTTCATAACCCAGACTGGTCTTGAAATTGCAACTATCCTCCTGCCTCAGCCTCCCAAGTGCTGTGATCATAGGTGTGCACACCACAACGGGCAATCATATGTAAAACAAAACATAAAATTAATACTAAAGGAACAAGATAATTTCTACAGATTTTAACCACTTATAGTATAAAAGATACCGCTTAGTAAACTATTGTTGTGATGTGTAAAAGTTTGTTCAAATCTAGATAATTCAAAGATATCATCTTTTGATGTTTTTGTTGAGACTCATACAACTATTTTCTGGAAAACAAATATAAAAACAATCATTACTATATTTATCATCTCTAACCATACAGTTATAGGATAAGTTATTTAAGCTATCTGATCAAAGTTTCCTCATGTGTAAAATCAGCAGTACTTACCTCCAAACTTGTTGGGAGGAGCAAGCAAAGTTATGGATTCAAAATGCTCAGCACAGGCCCTGGTGGTCCACTACCACCTAGACTGTTCTGCATCCTGAGCTCTGAGCTCCAGTATCTGCCAATTTGCAAATACAAGTCTACTACACATTGTCTCCCACCAAAATATGCCTGCGTTGTTCTTTTAAAGTATATTTCCTCCCTGCAATTACCAAAACATTTACCTAGCTTCACTATCATAAATTCATTGGAAACAAAAACCAAAGTACATAATAAAGCTTCCAATTTTAAAAATTAAGAATTGCTTAAATTATCCAAAATGAAGTAACAACAGCAGAAAAGTAACTTTTTGAACAACAAAAATCTAAACAATTGCAACTAGATATCATACCTCAAACCAGCACAGTGTTGGACTCAGTTTTCTAATATTCCATGCGGATTCAACCTGTGTTTTGGAGAAAAGAGTATCATCACTCTAAAGTCACTTAAAAATTAAACGCAGGTATCTACTTAACCTAGTGTCTCAGTAGTACTGACACATACAAGCATTAAGAAGTGTTGCTAACAGTAGAAAAATAATTGTTTTTACTGATGTGCAGTCTATTTGAGAGAAATTCCTGTTTACTTGGGATTTGATACAATAAAAATTTCCTACTGATAAGAACACCAGAAAATAAAAGCAAATAGCAGGGCTTTGAAACTAAAAATAAAGTGAAATGATGTTCAATTTTGTCCCTCTTCACTGCTATTTACTATTCAACAACTGCCTACTGACTTTAAAAACTGCTCAAGAAACAAAACCCCAATTGCACAGGAATTATCACAAAGAATAACTGAGATCTCACCCTATTGCACAGCAAGAGAAACCACCAACCCATAACGTGGGAGAAAATATTTGCCAGCTGTACCTCAGAAAAAAGATTCCTACTGAGAACATATAAAGAATCAAAAAAGTCAGCCCTCCCAAATATAAAGACCTAAACCAAAAATGGGCACCTGAGATGAATAAAAACTTCTTAGATAAAGAAATACAAATTGCAAATAAATATGTGAAACAATGTTCAACATCACTGGTCATTTGAGAGATGTAAACTAAAACAACACTGAGATTCCACCTCACCCCAAAAAGAATGGCTACTATCAAGAAATCAACCAATAGTAAATGCTAGTGGGGCTGTGAGGAAAAAGGAACCCTTCTCCGCTGTGGGTGGGAATGCAGATTGGTGCACTGTGGAAGTCAGCGTAGAAATTCCTCAAAAAACTAGGACTAAAAGTCCCTTTCAACCTAGCTATTCTCCTTCTGGATTATCCCAGAAGGATTAAAAACATCATACCACAATGATATATGTGCACCCATGTTTATAGCAGCACAGTTTGTAATAATAGCCAGATCTTGGAAACAACCTAAGTGTCCACTGACGAGGAATAGATATAAAAGATATAGTATTTTTATACATCAGAGTACTACTCAGCCAAAAAGAAGGATATTTAGTGAAATAATATACACATGTAAACATCATATTGTTTCACTAGTATGCGAAGCTGAAAGACAAAGCATGTATATGTGTATGTGTATGTATATGTATATAAAAAAGTTGTATTACTGAGTTCTCTGAGTTTGCTGGAAAGAAAGATTTGTGCAGGTATTGGTGGGACAATTGAATGCAGATGTCTTGTGCTCTGGATGCATTATTTGGGGATGACAGTGAGCAGTGTATGTACCCCTGGCTGATGTGTTTTGAAATTTTGTTGTAGTTTTTTTCTTCTTTTTTTCTCTCATTTTATTCTTGAAATAAAATAGATTTGGAAAAAAAAAACTGCTCAAGAATGTGGCCTTTCAGAGAATACTTCTGGGACTAAAGACATTCTAGAGAAATTCTCAAAGGTGAAGCAATCTCAAACATGTGAAGTGAAGAATAAAAAATGTTAAATTTTATCAAGTATACTCCCACCAACTCAGTAATATGTAGATATACTTTTCTGTCTAAGAAAACATGCTATCCAACTATTTATAGTATCTTAAAGAGATTAATGAAAACAAAGTATTTTCAGATTGTTATATTCTTGAGACCCTCGATAATACTCATTCTGGAAATATGGGCAAACCTCAAGTATCAACTTATAAAAATTTTCAGAATCATGACAATAAAAAAGGCACAAGTCAAATTCTAACTCTAATGTTATGCTAGTGCTAGCATGTTGAATGAAAGATTGAACACGTGTCATGAGCCAGTATAAACACACACACATATACACACACGGAAACACTGAAAGAAGACTGAGAAGAGATATGTCACCTTCTAGCAGCAGTTATCGCTGAAAACTGAAACTACAGGAAATTTTAATTATTTTTTTATGTGTATATTTTTCTTTAAGTGATATAAACTACAGTAACTCTGTAATTCAACAGCAAGGAAGCACCTGCCGAGGTTAAAGCTCTCTGAGCACACAATCATAAACAGCTGCAGGGCCACACTAATAAGAAAGACTTTTCCAATCTTCTGTAACATAGCATCCGTCACACAGGTGAGAAAGAAGTTTAACTTTTTATCTGAAAAATCCAATTTGGTTTAAGAGATAAAGCCTATATTATGTTTAGAAGATCATTTAAGAAGTAATCTATTTCACAAAAGGATTTAACTTTATAGTTTATCTTTTTAGCAGCAAAATTTTTTTAAAAATCTGATTCACATAGTTTTTTAACAGCACATATCCTACATAAATTGTGAGACATTTGCAGGTGAATTGCAAGATTCCTTTCCTCTGGGTAAAATGCTCTAATGTATATGTGATGATCAATGGTTTGGACAAGGAATACAAATGAGTATGGCAGTTGACACCCTTGTCAGTGTCGGTGTCATGTGACACGGCCTTCTTCTGCGGCCTAAGAGATGAGAGCGCAGGCAGCCTCTCTCTGTCCTCAGCTTTCCTTCCCTAAACATCCCTGCTTTGCACGTGGTGGCAGCAAACGCCACGAGACGAGAGGAAAAGACCACGTAAGCACTGTTCACACAGGGGCTGCCATCACCACCTACCACGCTACCCTCCTCTTCCCGGGGCATCCACAGAGAAACTAATCACAACAGGTTCTGCTCTGGACAAGAGGGCTGGCACTGTCACGCAGTTTCCCTAGCACGCTGGTCTACCCGGACACACAGGCATACTCGCACTTACATTCCTCTCTCCTTCAGTGACACGGATTTCATAGCAGTAGGCCAGAAGGATATCAATTAAACTGTAGTACACTTGACGATGAGCTCTCTTGTCCAACAGGTAAGACTTATTGACAAATTTTCGCAGCTGATACTTCTCTTCCTCAGAAAAAGACACTAGAAGAAAATGTATTTAAAATTTAAGTGTCCCACTCAGTTTTGTAAAACTGCCAAAGTAGACTTGCCAAAGTTAGAATTCTACATATAGAAACTGAAATAAAAGTAATTTCTACTTAACTCTAGAATTTAAAAAGTGGATTTCACAACTTTGGCAAGGACAATACCATTCAAATCCTAGTAGAGCTAAAAGAGACACTTCTAAACAATAGCTGCTCTTCCTGTTAGCACCACCCCTTAGGTTACGCTGCCTTGTAGTTACGGTTTTGAAATGCCACAGTTACTGACTTTAAAATAAAGATAATAAATACATTCTGACAGCAGGAATTCCAAATAAAGCACTAGATAAAATTACTCACTATCCACTTACAAAGTTCTATATAAAGGTACAGGGACATCCTCATATACTAATCAGTATTAAGGGTATAAGATTTATTACTCTTTATCCATATAAAGTTTCACTGAATGTACAAATGAGACTATATTACACACACTAGACTTGTGAGAAAAGAATATTCCTTGTCAAGATGGTTTTTTGAGGCCTTTGCATCGCTGACTTCGCACTCTCTTTTCACCTTTGTCTTCATCAACAGCCTCCCCACACTGAAAATCTAGTGCAGATCACACCCCAGTGTCTCTGGAGCCGTGTGTGATCACACGGGGACGCACAAACGCACATACCTCTCCCTCAACACGACCTCTGGCACATCGCTAATGCAGCTGGTCTGGGGCTAATTTTCCGACAGAGGAACAGTCTGTGATGTTCCACGCTCTATCCAATCACTCCCCCTACTGATGGGCATGCACTTTGCTTCAACTTTTCTGCTACTGCTAATAATGCTACCAAAAAATGCCCTTGCCATATGTCCTTGGATACTGGAAGCTTTATTTCTATAAAAGATTCCCAAGAGTACATTTACTGGCTCCAAAGTTTAGCTAGTTTTTTACATACTCTATTTAAAGGCTATAAAGACACTCTTTTCTAATAGTCATGGAGAGAAGTTCCTTTTCCTAAATACGCCTTCCACCCTGTCTGATACTAAATGTAGTAGCTTTTCTTCCTACTACTTTCCAGCTTCATAGATTTAACGTGACTCTGGTAAGAATTTTAAGATGATCAACAAGGAATCACATTATTACATGGGATGCACCTGGAGACTTGCTTCTGTCGGACCGAATATGGCAACAGGGAAATGACAGTCACTGCCATGATCTGCCCCATCACTATCAGGGGAGAGCCAGCACCTCGCCTGACAGTTTTGAATAAGAAAGATGCCAAGTGGCGAGGTGACCTGAGAAGGTTATGTGAAAGCACCTGTGGAGAATGCTAAGCTCTGTTGCTGGCCCTGACTGTCAGCCAGCAACCGACCAGGGCCCTGAGTTATCCAGTATCAAGGAACAAAATTCTGCCAACCATGCAAGTCTGGAAGGCCTGTGAGCTCCAGAAAGGAATGCAGCCATCAACACCTATTTAAAAAAAAAAAATTAGCTACAGCCTTCTAAGAGCCTAAGCAGAAGACTCAGAGCCAGGCGTGAGCCCCGATGCATGCACACAAGCGGTGAGGTCATGAAGGTGACTGTGTGAATCTGTCACAGCATCTCTCTTGCCACAAACTCTGAGCACTGCTTCCCATGTCTGCTGGCAATCTGGATCTGCTTTCCTGAAGATCAGCTCCTGGAATGTGCTCTGCCCATTTTTCCCTATTGGATAACATGTCAAATTTTTAAGAACTCTTGGTATATTAGAAATAGAAATCCTAACTACCCCTCTAATTCCGCACTAGGAACACTGATTTTGTTTATGTTAACTTTGGTCATTAAAGTATTTTTTATGTTGCTAAGTAAATCTATCTTTTTTTTTTCTAAAATAGATTCTGGACTAAGAGCTTTGTTTCTTTCCCCTGAACTGTACACAGTCTCTTTATAATTTATTGTTTTAATTTCTGTTTAAATGCTTCATCCACCTGGAAGCTATTTTTTTCATATGTTTTAAGGTTTTTAACAGAGGCCAGGGATCTAGCTCAGCAGCACAAGTGCCTGCCTGGGAAGCGCAAGGTCCTAAGTTCAATTCTTGTACCCAAAAAAAGAGAAAAGATTTCATTTATTCTGGCTGCATAGTTAACTGGGCAACCACAGTTTGGCCAGTAAGGCACTTTTTCCTGCTATATTAAGTTATCAACTCTGTCAAATAGATCTGTTGCTCAGTTAAGAATTACTTCAAAGCATTTGTTTTTTCATTGTGGTAAACACTGCACTTTGTGCCATTTCCTTTACTCAGAACTTCTTGCTAAAACAGAAAAAAGGCATTTAATTATTTACTTATTTATTTATTGATATTGGAAATTGAACCCAAGGCTTCATGCATACTAGGCAAGCTTTCTATTACTGAGATACATTCCCTAACCCTTGGATTATTTTTGAGACAGGGTCTCAGTTGCCCAGACTGGCCTTTATTTTGGGTCTCTAAGTAGCTGGGAATACAGGTGTGCATCACCTGGTTATTTCATTTATCAGCCACTTTGCCAAATACTGGCTATGTAGTCTAAAACGACAAACTTATAATACTTATCAATGGTATACTTATTATAAATAAGTTTGTTACATAATGGCAAGTATAAGACCACAGCTCCTAAGTTTCCCTTGGTTCCTGAAATGTAGGCAAACTATCATAAAGTAGTCTCTTCCATCAAGTCTTCTTACAGTTATTGACAAAACATCATATAACAGCCTGGCACTTGGGGAGCTAAGGCAGGAGAATCATTGTGAGTTTGAGGCCAGTCTACACTACGTAAGCAAGTTCAAGGCCAGCCTGACTACATAATAAGACCCTGTCTCAAAAAAAAAAAATTATACAACACATTTTTCTATTCAATTGTGCACCTTCCCACATTGATAAAACGTAAGCATTACTACATTCTCATATATCTCAGTGTTCATAAACCTAGAGCAAGAGATGCAGAAAAAATAACAGCTAAAAACATGCATTACTCAGCTCTTTGCTATTATAAGTAAAACACTTTCTAGCATTTGTCTATGAGAAATTTTTAAGAAACCTAAGCATCTATTTATATAGATATGGCTAAGTAATGGTGTTACCAATCTCTCATCTTGTGAAGTAATTTGTAATTTTCCTTCCAGCCCTAATCAGACAATCACTTCAAATTCACTTTAAAAAGTTTTTCAACCCAGTTGAAGAAGTGCATCCTTTTTCCATTCTGGTGTTCCACGTCAAAGTAACCTCTACATCTGTTTCTCCAGGTTTTAGTATCACTCATTATACTCAGATAAATAGAAGCTAGCCTACTGGAACAGGGACCACACAACCCTAACATCCAAGAGCAGCGGCTTAAATGAGACAAAATTAGTCTTTCTCATGCTACTCTCTTGGTGAGTCAGGCCTGGATGGCATCTGTTTCCCCATCATATGACCTCGATCTGTGGGTCCTAGATATGTTCTTGGGGTTTTTATAACTTCCTAGCCAAACAAAATAAAATAAAATAAGACAAAAAAACAAGAGGAGGGTGGCAAGCTCTTGGTTTCTTGGGACTTATTCCAGGAAATGCACATATCACTTCTGATCACTTCCCATCACCTAGGACTCAGGCACAAGACCACAGACAGTTGCAAGGAAAACAAAAGGAATTACAGTCACTGGTCACTTACTCAGCTGTAATCCAAGGAAGCCTTTTACTAAAAAGAAGGAAGACCATGAAAAACACCTGGTTCCCACTGTCACCTCTTTGGAGGTGAAGAATTGCTAAAATTCCTTTTCAGTCAGGCATAGTGGTGCACACTTGTAATGCCAACACTCAGAAGGCTGAGGCAGGAGGACTGTTGCAAGTTTAAGACCAGCCTGGGCTATTAAGTGAGTTCAGAGCCAGCCTGAACTGTCTCAAAAAGACCTCTCACACACACACACAAAAAGCCTTTTCAGTATACCCAAACCATTTCCTGAGTAGACAGCTAGCCACCTAGTCCTTTTTCTATCTCTGTTCAACAAGACTTTTTTTTTCTGCTCATCACAACTTGGCAAGAGCCAGAAGATAATCTGATCAAACATAAACACTGAATCATGCATTGGTCCAGATAAATATCCCTCAAAAGCCCACTTGATAAAGGCTTAGTCTCCATTCCCTACCACTACTAGGAACAGGTGGAACCTTTAGAAGCTAGGGTACAGTGAGAGATCTTTCCTGGAGGTGTGTCTTTGAAAAGGATAGTGGAGCTGGGCATGGTGGTACACACATATGCATGCTAAGGCAGGACGATCGCCAGGAGTTCAGGGCCAGCCTGAACTACACAGTAAGACCCTGTCTCAAAAAAACCAAAAATAAAATAAATAGATAGATAAAAAAGAAGAGTGGGACTCCAGCTCCTTCCTACCCGTCTTTCACATCCTGGACATGGTGGAACAGATGGTTTTTCTACGCACTTCTGCCATAACTTACGGCTGTCTCACCACAGACCTGAAAGCAACATGGTCAACAGATCATGGGCTAAAATCTCGAAGACCATGAGGAAAAAATAAACCCTTCCTCTTATTTTGATTGTCTCTTATATTTTGTTACAGAAGTGGAAAACTGACTAATAGAGCCCCAGTCACAATTTTCTAACCTTCTTTTCTTAACACTTATGCTTAGCATGCTTAGTTTGTTTTTTTTTTTTTTTTTTTTTTTTTTTAATAGTTAAAGGCTTTCAATTCTGGTGGTTTTGCAACTTATCCTCAGTGGGAATGGGAGGCTCTAAAATACACTTATTTTCAATTTTTTTCTTTTTTTTGTAATCCATTTTATTTCAAAAAGAAAAAAGAAAATACACACTTTAAATTGCCAGAAGCAATATGTTACTCATTAAAATACTTTTTTAAAAAGTGCCCAAAAAACAACAACAAAAAAAGGGGTGTGTGTGTGTGTGTGTGTGTGTGTGTTACTTTTTTTGTTTTGGTAGTGCTGCAGATTAAACCGAGGCATGGTTCAATCCCCAGCACTATGCTTTACCA